TGGCATTGACAGTGCAGCTCCGCGCACCAATCCAATGCGTCAAGTGCTCCGGCGAGCAGGGGCGCAGCAAGAGCCCCAGGACAGCGAGGCGCTGACAGTGTGCAGCTCGGCATCCACCCCGAGGGGCGGGGCCCTCCCAGACCCTCATCGAGCCGTGAACAAAAAAAACACGGCGGGAGGTTCTCGCTCATTTTCGGTGTACCTCCCGAGGCTGGAAAGCTGCCAAGAGCCGACGAAAAAGTTGGAGCGCCTCCCCCCTATGAGGATGTCCCTTCTCTCTCTTCGAGTTGCCCCGGGGCCTATCCTACAGTCGGACTCGATTGGACAGGACACGCGAGAGGACACAAGACCCTTCCGAGGGCCACATTGCCACACGAATGTAGGAAGCATGGGTCGCGAGACAGAGGACACAAGGGTACCCTTGACTTGGCAGGGTCGACCTACTAATCTGGGCTGGCTGTACCCCATCGTTGCCCCCGAGGAGAGGGGAGGAGGGAGGAAGGGGAGGCGGGGGCACCAGGGAGGGACAAGGGCGAGCCATCGCCGTCGCCGTCGCTCTCCTCCTCCTCCTCACCTTCTTCCTCCTCCTCCTCCTCCTCCTCCTCCTCCTCCTCTCCTCATCCTCCTCCTCCTCCTCCTCCTCCTCCTCCTCCTCCTACTCCTCTTCCTCCTCCTCCTCCTCCTCACGCGACCTAAAGCAGCCAAAACCACTTGAGAGTGCCAAGCGTGCGCTCCATCGGGCAAGAGCTTTCTGACTAACAAGTTCATGAAAGCCCTGACTGGAAGGACTTGAAATTTACTTGTCAGCTTCCACTTCTGCGGTGAGGCCCGCTGCGTTTTGAAACTGACCTCTGGTCATCTGCGCGGTCCTCCCCCTACCCCTCCTCCTCCCCCTCCGTACGCAGGGGAGCGCGGGCACGCAGTGCTGGCGGGGCCGGCGGCTCCCAGTCGGCTCGGATCCCCGGCGCTGGGCCCGGGGGGGGGGCTGCTTTCCGTGCCACCCCCGTGGACAACCCGCACGTCCCCGAGCTGCGACGAACACGCTGCGACGGCCGGATGTTGCTGCTGTTTGGGGACCTCTGGGGTGCCCTTGCTGGGCCGGGCCCCGGGGCCGTCGAAGGTCGACTCGGGATGAAAAGCTGGTCCCCGGGAAGGGGTCGAGACCTCCAGAGGTCCACGTTGAGAAACAGCCCAAACAAAAACAACAAAAACACGACGACGGAGGTCCGGGACGCAGGCGAGGGGGCACCGCAGGTACGAGGTTTCCCTCTCGGGGAGCACGACGAGGAGGGGAGAAGGGAGGAGGAGGAGGAGGAGGAAGAGGAGGAGGAGGAGGAGGAGAGATTGGAGGAGGAGCTTCCTCCCTTCATCCCTTTCTCCCCTGCCCTCATCCGATCGCGCTGCCTCCCCCGCTCCCCAAATCCGCCGACCCTGTCGGCGTGTGCGAGGGGCTTGGCTGTTCGAGTCGGCGTCTCCGTCGGTCGTCGCCTCCGTCGTCCCTTTTCCCTGCAGCTTCCTTCTCAAGCTCGTGAGCGAGAGAAAAATCTAGCAGTGTCGTAATCGAGTCGAAGGGAAGCCCCTTCCCTTCGATCCCTTCCCCAGGGGGGGGGGTCCGGGGGGGTCCCGGGGGGGGTCCCGGGCCGGGGGGTGTCCCGGGGGGGGTGGGGGGGCAGATTCGTTTTCCCTCGGGCGGCCTAGAAACCTCGAAAACACTCCAAATGAGGTCCGAATGCCCAAGATGGCCCCCGAGACGGCCCAAGAGGGCCCCGAGTCGCCCAAAGATCTGCCGCAAACGCCCAAGACAGCCCCAAGACCGTCCAAGAAGCCTCCAAGACGTCCCAGGCCCCCTCCAAGAGACCCCCAGGAAGCCCCAAGAGGCCCCCACGAGGCTTCCAAGCGGCCCCTAAGAGCTTCCCAAGAGGCCCACAAACTACCCCCAAGAGGCCCCCAAGAGCGCTCGTCGTCGTCGTCGTCGTCGTCGCCATTCAGGGTCAGCGGCACTGGCCGTAAGGCCTTCGCAATACTCCCTCCTACTCATCACGACTTTCGTCCCCATCCCCCTTCTTGACCTCGACCTTCTCCAGCCCAGTCCACTTCCTCCTCCTCCTCCTCCTCCTCCTCCTCCTCCTCCTCCTCCACCTCTTCTTCCTCCTCCTCCTCCTCCTCCTCCTCCTCCTCCTCCTCCTCCTCCTCCTGTTCCTCCTCCCCCCCAAGCTCCTGACAAACCGTGCTCTAATGGAATGGAGGGAGCATTCGGTCAACTGGCAACGCAAGCCGGGCGGCGGCTGGTCCAGGCAGTTCATGCCCACCACGTCCGCGGCGCGAAAGAACACGTCGCCCTTATCGGCCACCGAGCCTGAGGCGTTTCTCCACCCATACTCCTGCCCATCGTCCACATCAGCGTGACTGTGTTCTGGCTCCCGCTCATCATTGACACACCCTGTCATTATCCCATATCATCGTCGTCTCATAGCATCATCATCATCATCATCATCATCATCATCATCATCATCATCATCATCAGCAGCAGCAGCAGCAGCAGCATCATCATCATCAGCAGCAGCAACAGCATCATCGTTATCATAAGCAGCAGCATCATCGTCACCACCACCACCACCATCATCACCATCATCATCATCACCATCAGCATCACCATCATCATCAGCAGCATCAGCATCAGCATCAGCATCAGCATCAGCAACATCATCATCATCATCATCAGCAGCAGCATTATCATCATAAGAATCGTCATCATCATCAGCATCATCATCATCATCATCATCATCATCATCATCATCATCATCATCATCATTATCATCAGCAGCCTGAATAGGCCCCCAAAAAAACCCAAGAGGCACCAAAACGGCCCCAAAACGGCCCCCAAGAAACTTCGAAACTGCCTCCAAGAGTCCCGCGAGAAGCCCCGCAAGAGATCCCAGAGATCAGGGACTCCTTTGCATGTCTTGCGCTTCAGTGGTGCTGTCCAGAAATTCTAAACATCTACCTTTCCGCCCCCAGGAGCCACACGGAGGCCCCAAGAGTGCCCCAAAAAGCCGTCAGATGCCCCCAAGTGGCTTCAAAACTGCCTTCGTGCCGCGCTGCAGGGACCAAACATTGCAAGGCGAGAGAAAACGACTAATGATGCTTGACGACTTCGCGCTTCTATCACAAGGAATCCAAGGGGTGGGCGGATGTGGCGTAAGCCTGTAGAATCGTCATCATCATCATTATCATCAGCAGCCTCATCGTCATTATCATCATCAGCAGCATAATCATCGTCATCATCAGCATCATCATCAGTAGCAACATCATAGTCATCACCACCACCACCACCACCACCACCACCACCATCATCATCATCATCATCATCATCATCATCATCATCATCATCAGTATCAGCATCATCATCATCATCAGCAGCAGCATCGTCATCATCAGCATCATCATCGTCGTCGTCATCTTCATCGTCATCGTCATCCTCCTCGTCTTCCTCCTGCTTCTCTCCTCCTCCTCCTTCTCCTCCTCTTCCTCCTCCTCCTCCTCACGCAATGGCATTCAGTCAGGCGCCGCCCCTCAAACTAGGGACTCCAAGCACCACGGCAGGAAGGGCGATCCTTGCGCAGATCCTGAAAACGAGGCCTGCGACGTCGCGAGCGCCGCCCTGCGCTGGCCGGCGCGACAACTGCCACAGGGCGGCGGCCTCTGCGGCGGCACCCGCCGCCTGTCCCGAGGGCACGGCGAGGTGCGGAGTGCCCTGGGCCCCGCCGTCGTGGCGCGGGGCGGTGCGCCGCACGGCACCTCCCGTGCGGCCCGAAGCGCCCTGGGGTCTCTCTGGCCCTGGCTGCCGGGCGGCCAGGGCCGCCGGGGGCTCGCGCAGCGCGGGGCACTGCAGTGTTGCAGCTTTGCGGCGAGGGCGGCCCAGGCTCGACGCCGCAAGCTGCCTGCCGGATCTTCTCCGGGTCATCCCGGACAGCGCTCATTCGCTCATTCGTCCATCCCCTCGCTCGTTGCTCTTCTTCAGGTTGGGGCCCGCCACGGCGATCCCCATGCATTGCTAGTCCTGCGTAGCATCAGATTCGGAATTCTGCACGGCGCGAGGGCCATCCATTAGGCAGCAGGGAAGGCGACAGTCGGAGATCGGCGGATCAAAGAACGACAAGAATAGACGGGCAGAGGGGGTTAGCCGTCATAGCTCGCCCGCCCACCATTGATTTACCACCCGACACATTCACCAACAATGTTTGTCCGACAACCCGGCAGAAAAACAAACGAGGGCAAGACGCGGCGGGTCAACCAGCACAGCCCAAACGAAAGATCACGTGGAGAGGCACGCGTTGCCCTTGGAAAGCTATGCAGGAGCACCTTGCGTCCAACGCCCCACGTGGCCCACGAAACCGATGCTGGGCAGAACAGACGACAGGAGGGAGATGGAAAGGGGGGCGACGACGAATAGGACGACGAAGATGACCACGACGACGACGACGACGACGGCGACGGCGGCGGCGGCGGCGACAACAACGACGACCAAGGCGACGACGAACACGACGACGACTACGACCCTGACAACGACGGCGAGGCGACGGCGACGGCGAAGCAGACGGCGACGTCAAAGGCGGCGACGACGACGACAACAACGGGGACGACGATGGCAACGACGACGACGACGACGATGACGACGACCTCGATCTCGACCTCGATCTCGACCTCGGCCCGGCCGGCCGCCGCGGGAACCCAGCGGCTGCAGAAACCCGAAGCTGCCCCGCACGGACACGATGCGGCCCCACGCAACGCCGTCGTCGTCGCCGGCGCACTCCTGTTGGGGGGGAACAAGGGGGGAGGCACGCGGCTGAGCGCGTAGCCGCGCCTGGGCCTCTCCGACGCCGTGACCTCTTCCATAGCGTGGAGCCACAGAGATGAAGGAAAAGATCATGGGGGGGACCAGCTCAACGGAGGAAACATCGACTGTGGAATCGACGGTACATCGCCGATGGATCGGCGAGAAGTCCCCGACAGCGAAGCCGCAACTCCTCGGCGGGGTGGGCTATCGGGCCCCTATCGGCGGTTGCATCCCCCCTTGAGCCTATCCACCCCTAACGTTGCCCCTGACAGAGGTCCGAACAGCGCCCGGCTCCAATTAAGGGGCCCCTGGAAATGGCACAACACATGTTCGGACAAAACCGCGGCGGGAAGGTGTTGGTCCATCCCGCGGCGTGGATCTTCTCCCCGGGACCGGCGTCGCGTCCCGAGACGCTTTTGGACGGTCCCGAGGCCTGGCGAGGGCCCCCGGGAGCCGACGATGGGGAGGGGACAGCCAAACAAAAACAGAACAAAAAACAATACATAAACAAACCAACAACAACAACAACAACAACAACAACAACAACAACAACAACAACAACAACAACAACAACAACAACAATTACTAGCACGTGGGGACACTCCGTTCTCACCAGTGCCAGGGTTTTCATAGGAGGCGGGCAATACCCCCACTTTGTGGGGGGGCCGGTTCAAGCTCTACCAAATTTCCAAACGACTCTTCGCCACCACCCACACCCAGCTTCCCGCCCTATGACGTTCGGACACTTCACTTCGTGGCATGCGGACGACCGTGGCTACTATTCAGGGCCCCGCGGCCGACGACGACGGCGTGCGCGCGCGAAGAAAAAACGAATGTGTCCCGCATGGTGTTATTTGACAGGGATGATGGCCCTGGCAGGTGCGCAACCGTTGTTGCAGAAGTTCGAAAAAGTTGCTCGCAAAAGCCCGTTTGACAGAAATGTTTAAAAAGTGTTGGGTTTCCTACGAATCCGCAAGAGCGCGCGGGATGAAATTTTGACATTTGTTTTTGAAAAACCATTGGTTTTTTGATGTTTTTATGTTAAAATCGCTACGAAAACTAAGGTTTTGGAAGGATTTCGTCTTGCGCGCGCGAATGTCCACTTTACCTTATTTTTTGCAAGGGATTCTTGAAGTTTGGTTATGTTAGAACAAGAAATGTCCACTTTAGCTTATTTTTTACAAGGGAAAGCGGGCCGTAACAACACAACCGGATCCGGACCCACCCGTTTTGCCTGAGACTTCCTCACGAAAATGATGAAAACGCGGCTGCGGCCTAGGCGCGGCGGGGGGGCCATGCACCAGGGGCCCCAACAATAATTATTCTTTAGAAATAATAATGTTCAACAACAACAACAACAAAAACAACAAAAACAAAAACAAAAACAAAAACAACAAAAACTTCCGCCGCTACTTTTCTCGCCAAGAGAAGACGTCTCTGGGAGGGCGGGAGGAAATCGGTCGGCCGGTCGCGGCCCACGAGCGGCTCAGCCCGCCGGGCCCTGCCGGAGGGAGGGCGCCCATGGCCGACTGCAGCCCGAGAGCGCGGCGGGAGGAGAAGGGGCGGCCGCCTCGGCAGAGCCGCGCCCCCCGAGCGGCCCGCGGCGGCGGGGCTCCGCAGAGAGTCTCGAGCGACGCGCCGTGGCCCTCGAGGGGCGAGCGAGCTCGGGGGGCGTGGGCCCGGGACCCAGACCCCCGACGCAATGATTACCTAACAGCGAAGACTGATAGGTTTCTAGTGGTGTCAAAAGAGAGCATCTGATGACTCAGAAGGGAGGTCTGGGCGGCATCCGGACAGCGAGGGCCGGGCTCAGGGCCGGGCTCGTTTTAAGCAAACAGTCACACACTTCGTGCTCTTCGACCTCCCAGAACTCCATTCCCGGACCAATTTTGAATGCCCGAAGCCAACTGTAGGCCACTTCGTGCTCTACGACTTCCCAGAACTCCATTCCCGGGCCACATTTTGGATGCTCGGAGCCAACTGTAGGCCACTTCGTGCTCTTCGACTTCCCAGAATTCCATTCCCGGGCCACATTTTGGATGCTCGGAGCCAACTGTAGGCCACTTCGTGCTCTTCGACTTCCCAGATCTCCATTCCCGGGCGACATTTGGGATGCCTGGAGCCAACTGTAGGCCACTTCGTGCTCTTTGACTTCCCAGAACTCCATTCCAGGGCCACATTTTGGATCGTGCTCTTGGACTTCCCAGAACACCATTCCTGGGCCACATTTTGGATGCCCGGAGCCAACTGTAGGCCACTTCGTGCTCTTGGACTTCCCAGAACTCCACTCCCGGGCCACATGTTGAATGCCCGGAGCCAACTGTTGTTGTTGCTGCTGCTAGTGTAGCTATTGCTACTGCATCTACTGGCAGTGCCACTGCGACTGCCGCTGATGTTGCCACTGCGACTGCCACTGCGAATCCGAATGCGACTGCGAGAACACCAGAATTCTACAACAGCACTCTTACATGAATACCACAGGCAATGTTTCCAGCTATGCTTCTACACATCGCTGTTAGGTTGCTTTGCCGGGATAATTTTTTCGTTACGTCGACCCCCAGAGGTCCCGACCCTTTCCCCATGACCGGCTTTGCATCCTGAGTCGTTTTTTGACGCTCCCGAGGCCCAGTGAGGCCCCCCCAGGCCGAAAATCAGGAAAAAACTCCCGTCATGATTTTTTCATTACTCGAGGGGGTCTGGGGAGGACGTCGCCGCCCGCGCCCTGCCGCACGGAGGCAGGCTGGGCCTCGCGCCCCGCGGAGGCGCAAGCCCGCTGGGAGCACGGGCAGCGGCTCCCGGGGACGGGCCTCCAGCGCCGCAGCGCCGCGCCCGCGCGCCTCGGGGGCCCCGCCTGCCAGCGCGGGCCACTGCGCACGCGAAGGGGGAAGAGGGCGCCGAGTGCCGCGAGGAAGGAGGAGGGGTGCTGCCAAGCGGCACCGAGCGAGGCGACGACGGGGGGACGCAGGAAGCAGGAGAGCAGAGGGCAGGAAGAGGCGGCGACAGCAACCGGCCGACACCGTGCAGGAGCGGCGCCCGGCTTCGAGCAGCGGCGAGGGCTCCGTGCGGAGCGACAGAGGCGGGGCACGGGCAGACCCGGAGGCCGGAGTGACCCGATAGCTGGGGCAGCGTGCAAGAGTGAGAGAGGAGGAGGAGGAGGAGGAGGAGGAGGAGGAGGAGGAGGAGGAGGAGGAGGGGAGAGGAGCAGGAGGAGGAGGAGGAGGAGGAGGAGGAGTGAGAGAGGAGGAGGAGTGAGAGAGGAGGAGGAGTGAGAGAGGAGGAGGAGTGAGAGAGGAGGAGGAGGAGGAGGAGGAGGAAGAGGACCAGGGGCGCCAAGGCCAGCCAAAGGCGCGTGCGGTCGCGGGGCTCCAGCAGCCAGGCCGGATCCCGCCGGCGCTGCGTGGTCGGCGGAGAGCGGAGGAGCGGCTGCGGGGGCGGGGAAGCACACGAGCAGGCATTAGGGGAACGAACAATGACATCATAAAAACTCGGAGGTCCGCGCGGACCTTCGAGTTTTTATGTTTCTGTCATTGTTCGTTCCCCTAGGCATACACCACGTCGGACGCCCGCGTGCTGGCAGGCGTTCCTTCGCAGGCGTGCAGAGTCTGCGCCTGCGTAGCTCGTCGCCCTCCGGGCGAGGGGAAGGAGCACGGGGCCACCACCTCCTCGCTCATCGGCTACACGCGAGAGTGACCCTGGGTACGAGTGACCTTTTGGGCGCGGCTTCCTGGGGGCCGCGTGGGGACCAAACATGAGCGCGCAAGACGCTACTGTCGCATCGCGCTCGGCGATCGGGGGAACCCAATGGGCCCGCACCAAGGGTCACTTCGGCGAAGGGTCACTCGTACGCGTAGTCGAGCTTAGCCCTGCCGCCAGCCCCTTCTGTGCGCCGCCATCCGCGACGGGGCCTGCTCCAATATGAAGGCCCTCCTGCTCCGTCGCGCCACATCGACCGGCGCGCGCGGCGCCTCTGCGAGCCCGCTGATAGCCAGAGTGCGCGTCAGAGGTCCGCTGAGCCCCCCGGAACCTGCACCTGTCATCGCGGAAGGCGTACTGGTGCCGACGACTCGGCCCCCCTCGCTTGGATCGGGCGCGCGCCGGCATGGATCAGCGAAGGCACCCCCGACACATGAGGCCAGTGCCGCCTCGTCCGGCGACAGCGCGCCGATGTTGCATGGAAACGGGACCCGTCGCCAATCCACGCGCCCTAATCAATGTTAGCGCTTCCTCGATTGGAGCTCCCGATCGGGCTCGCGCTCCATCAGACGACTCCGCTCCACGTCAGAGACGGGAGCGGTCAGACCACCACGACTGACGAGCCGAAGTCTGGCCTCCGCTGTGTCGCCTGCCTCGGCCCGCCTTTGGCAAACAGGAGCGACATCAGCGAGCTCAGGGAAGCTGGGGGTTCCTCTGCACTGCAGAGTCGACGACGGGAGGGATGCGACGGACCGAATGGACCACCCCCACCTTGCGCGCGGAAACAGCGCGAAGCGAAGTCGTCATAGATGTTGCCAGAACCAGAAGCCACCGTGCAGCGGAGACTTCTGCCCAGAGTCGCTGGGGCGAGACTGCTTTCCAAGCAGGTGGCCGCACTTTGGTATGGGGCCCATCGCTTAGCTAAATGCTGGGCTAAAGTGGCAGATCGGTGACTGTCAAGAAACAGAATTGTGCGCGTCGCCTTCCGCCATAACCAACACATAAGTGTTAAAACACCTGCGTTCGTGCACTAGCTTGCGTATCCAATGGATCACGTCAATACGCAGACAATGATGAGTCATAGTCGTTGTGTCGAACGTGCAGCATCAACAGATCGAGAGGAGGAAGAGGAGTAGGATCAAAAGCAGCCTGATATGGCAGCAAAGCGAGGCGGCAAAGAGTCACACTGTGGAGTCTGCTGTGCTGCTATGCCATCCCGCAAACTCGCCCAACCGAAGGCCCTGGAGTGGGCTGGCCTGCGCCGCCTTCGTAGTCTGGAGGCCCGCGGAGACCCGAGCGCCTTGGCGATCGACTGGCTCTGCGGATGAAAGGCTTAGGCTTAAGTCGGGCGTGTCCCCCTACAGGGGGGATTTTCGACGAAGAATAAAAGATACCCCAAAACGGTTTTGAAAAAAAAAAAAAACGAAAAATAGCCCCCGGACTATTTTTTGACTATCTTGGAATTTGTTCTGAACAGTGTTAATGTTTCGTCGAAGATCCCTCTGTAGGGGGGCACGCCCGACCTAAGCTTGGGCACGCAACTCCGCAGCCACACCGCCCCCCCCGCCTGGGGCGAAGCGGGCGGCGGAAGCGGCAAGGCACGCCACGGCCGCCCCCCGGCGAAGAGCCGGAGCACGTCCCCCATGGCGGCAGAGCAGGGGGCCCGCTCCTCGGCCGGCCTCCCCGCGCACGCCACCTGAGCCTGGCCGCGGACCTCCAGCGGACCGTCCGGGAGCTCCCCGCTGCGGGCCTCGCGCTTCACGACGAGCGCCAGCGGCTTCGAGCCCCCCCTCCAGCTCGCGCACCACGGGCTCGCGGCGACCCTGGCGCTGGTTCCTGACGCCGCGGGGAGCGTTCAAACTCGAACGAGGGGCCGCTTCCGAAGCGTCAGATCGTTCAACCTCGACCCACTCTGGGCCGCCGGCGGCGTGCCACGTGAAGCGCCGGCCAGCGGGGTCGCCGCCGGTCGACACGACGCGAACCTACCGCACGTGGCAGGCAAGACGAGGCAGAGCTCGCGGGGGCCCCTTCTGCAGCAGCCTCGACGCAACGCCTCGCGCCGCCCAGGGGCCAGGAGGGGGCGGCCGGCCACGAGCTGTTCAGCCCTGCACCCCTCGAGGAGCCGCAGGATCCCTCGGGAGAAGGCACGGGCCCTGGTCAGCACCCCCACAGAGCACGCAATCCCACGAGGGGGCAGCGAACAGGGAGGAGAAGGGAGGAGGAGGAGGAGGAGGAGGAGGAGGAGGAGGAGGAGGAGGAGGAGGAGGAGGATGGACGAAGAGGAGGAGGAGGAGGAGGAGGAGGAGGAGGAGGAGGAGGATGGAGGAGGATGGAGGAGGAGATGAGCGTAAAAGAATCCGTCCAGCTCGCCCAGCGCCGGGGCGAAACCCGCGGCAAACTCGTGGGACACGCGGAGGATGGAGCCGTCGTGCGCAGCCGACCCAGCGGCTCGCAGTGGCTGGAGCTCGGTCGATATGCGGGCGAGCGGGCGACGACGGGAGAGACAGCGCGGGGGGGGGAGGCGCAGCGTGCCCGGAGAGGTCCAAAGCCAACCACAGTCACCTGACCATGCTGCTGGAAATGCTGCTGCTGCTGCTGCTGGAAATGCTGCTGCTGCTGCTGGAAATGCTGCTGCTGCTGCTGCTGCTGCTGCTGCTGCTGCTGCTGCTGCTGCTGCTGCTGCTGCTGCTGTCGCTCTCCAAGCCATGCACACAAAGGAAGAGCCGCCCGGATGAACAGGCGGGAGGACGGTGCAGCCGGCCTGGGCAGCCAGCTGCACGATGGCGGCCATCGCGGAGCGGTCGAGGAGGAGGAGAGGAGGAGGAGAGGAGGAGGAGAGGAGGAGGAGGAGGAGGAGGAGGAGGAGGGGGAGGAGGAGGAGGAGGAGGAGGAGGAGGAGGAGGAGGAGGAGGAGGAGGAGGAGGCCAGAGCGGAGGTCGAGGAGAGAGCGATTGGCCCAAGGCGCGTCCTCGGTTGGACCTCCCGCGCCAAACTCCACCTTCTTCTCCTCCTCCTTCTTCTTGGCCTGAGGGGGGGACGGCAGCAGAGGCCCGCCCTAGGTGAGGCAGGACGAAGCTAGGACGATTGTATACAACATCAATCATTACATGATTGTTCGCTCTTATCTGCTTGCGTGCCATTCAACACGTATATCACAAACCCTCGATACCCGCCCTCTTCGTCTTCGATCGTACCCCCGTTGGGGGGGTATATCCTCCCTGCCTGCCACGTGTAGTCGGCGCAGCCCCTTAAACAGGGGAAGGAAGCGAGGAGCGAAGACGAGGGGGAGCGAGAAAGATGGGACACGAGAGAACTTTGCAGTAGGGGGGGCTACGAGAACGAGTACGAGCGGCAGACCCAGACGGGCGGGTCGGGCGGGCGGACCCTAACGGGCAGGTCGGGCGGGCGATCCCAGACAGCCCGGTCGAGCGGGCGGGTCGCTGAAGCGTCAGTCCAACATGAATCGCGAGGAAGTCTCGAGCGATGGCGCGATTCCCAAGTAAATCGTTTGGAAATCCAAAGCGGGAGCTTGATTCCTGAGTGTTGCGGGCACGGCGCCGCAATCAATCCCGCCAGCCCTCTGGGCGTAGGAGGTCTACGGCGCCTCCGCTTCCAAACCCCTTCTTCCCCCTCGGGGAAGGGCTTGTCACTGTTCCCGATTAGTATACACCCCCTCCCCCACCCTTTGGAGTCCCGAAACGGTGCGGTGACGGACCGTGCGGTGACCTCGAAATCCCCCAAGACCTCACCGCACGGTCCGTCACCGCACGGTCTTGGGACCTCGGAGGCCCCAATCGCCCGAGACGTCCTCGGAGGACGACCCGAGTCCCAAAACCGTGCGGTGACCCCGAATCCCCACCGACTCACCGCACGGTGTGGTCACCGCACCGTTTGGGGGCCCCCGACACCCGGCGGGCGACAAACCTGGAACCATACCGACCCCATGCGGGCCACACGCCCCACCATCCCGGTGAAAAAACAACACAAAACGCACTCTGCCTCCACACGTGGAGCACGCGCGGCCCCGCGGCGCCCGGAGCGTACGGGGTACGTCGTAGGGTGACGCCCGTCATGCCCCAAGCTATGAGAAACACGCTCCATCGACATCGGCATCGACATCGCGATCACGATCACACAATCAACACCACCACCATCATCATCACCATCATCATCATCCTCATCATCATCATCCTCATCCTCATCCTCATCATCATCAGCAGCATCAGCATCAGCATCAGCATCAGCATCAGCATCAGCATCAGCATCATCAGCATCATCATCATCATCATCATCATCATCATCATCATCGTCATCATCATCATCATCAGCAGCAGCATCTATCATCAGCATCAGCATCTTCATCATCATCATCATCATCATCATCATCATCATCATCATCATCATCATCATCATCATCATCATCATCGTCATCGTCATCATCAGCATCAGCATCAGCATCATCATCATCACCATCATCATAACCATCATCAACATCATCGTCATCATCATAGTCCCTCCCACACACCCACCACCTCCTGCCTTTCACATACTGCCGCGGAGGACGCTGGGGCGGCGGGGGTGGCGGGCGCGCCCCAGCGCCGCCGGGCGTCAGTGAGATGCCGCCGGTCAGGCCCCCGGGGCGCAGGGACAACCCGCCGGTGAGCCTCGGGCCGGGAGAGGAGAGCGGCCAGCGGCGCGAGATCGGAGAACGGCGGTCCCGAGGGCGCCTCTGGGGATGATCCCGGGAAAGGTCCTGTGGGGTCAACCTTCCCCCCCTCCCATGTCATCACCCCACTTTTGCTTTCTCTCTTCCTGTCCTCGCCTCCCCCATCCTCCCTCCCATCCTCCTCCTCCTCGTCTTGCTCCTCCTCCTCCTCCCTCCTCCTCCTCCTCCTCCTCCTCCTCCTCCTCCTCCTCCTCCTCGTCCTCCTCTTCCTCGCCGTCCTCCTCCATTCCTTTACTGGGGCTCTCGCCTCAGCGCCGCGCACATTTGCATTAAGAATTTACAACAGTTTCACGGGTTCGTATGGTTAACATCCCCAAAACGGTGTTTTGGCACGATGTCGGACTGTCAGGGCGTAACAATTACATCGGTTCGTGGTGTTGACGTCCCAGAAAGTTTGTTCTGGCACGATTCAGGATCGTCAAGACGCAACAATAACAGTGATTCGCGCCGTTGAAGTCCCAGGGAGGGGTGTTCTGGCACAGAACAGGATTTACAAGCGGTTGCTTCCAACGAGGCACTTCCCTCAGTGAGAATGAATCCTTGTAGGGGACTATGACGAGGGAACTTGGAGGGAGGGCTTATTGCAATATCGTTGGTGAGTCTTGGGTTTACAGTGGTCCTCCTCCTCCTCCTCCACCTCCTCCGCCTCATCATTTTCCTCTTCCTCCTCGTCCTAGCGAATGCTGTCGGAGGCATCAGCCGCAAGGTCTTCGCAGACGGCTGGATGCGACGGCAATGCAGAATGTGCACAGCAATTTTGAGTAGAGGTATGCTGGCAAATCAACATAATGTCTGAAATAGTCTGAACCAGCGAAGCAGCTGCGGCCAGGCTTCCGTGTGACAAGGCATACTGACCGCCGTGATGAAAAACTTGATGCGCATATAACTACAACGAGAGCAGGGGGAGGTGGGAGGCAGGAGGGGGGAAAGGCAGGCCCGAGCCGATCAGAAAAGATACAAAAATATAGAAGATGCCCTTGCGTCAACGTCCTACTGCCTAGGGAAGGGCAATCCATGTGAGAGTCGTTGTTGGCTCACGGATCCGAGAAGTCGACGTCCCAATGGGAAAGGACTAAGTCGACCTCATCAGCCCAATTGCTGTCAGCTGTGCGCTCGAGGAGGTGACGCAAAAGGTACGCACACAGTGGTCTGTTCCGCTCCACCAATCAAGGATGAATGCGGGTGCGCAGCGAGAAAAAGCGACGAAAATCGGCGCTGACCTGCACCCAACCATCGATTAGGGGATCGACTACAGAGTTGAACTGTTCCATACTTAACTGCTTCGTCGGATCACTGAGTGAGACGAATACATAATGCTCGCAATCTACGAACAGTATGCGTCGTGTTGTCCGTGGATCCGGCGGACAGTTCAATTGGGGGTAAACCCATTCTGTAATCGATCTCCGATTCAAAACAACCAAATCGGGTCTTCTTAGAAGTGCCCCTGGCCCAAGGTGCCCCCAGGATCTCCAAGGAGGCCCCCACGACCTCCAGTGCGCCCCTCACGAAGCCCAGAGGGCCTCGGGGGCTCCAAAAGGGAGCGAAAAGCTGGGGGTTACTTTGGGCCAGGGGCACCTTTTCGGGAGCGGCCAAGAGGGGGGTGTCCAAGAGGGGGGGAGGTGCAAATCATGACCGGCGGCATGTGCGCCGCCCAGCGGGGGGGCCAGGGACGTAATGAAATAAGAAGAGGCGGCACGAGATCTGGGGAATGGCCCCCGCCATGATATCCTGACCCCCCCGAGTCATAACCCCCCTCTTTTACGGCCCCCGATCCTGTGGCTACCACGACCAACATACCTCGGAGCACCGCCTCCGGGGAGAGGCCTCGACCCCAACTCCTCCTCCTACTCCTCCTCCGCCTCCTCCGCCGCCTCTCCTCCTCCTCCCTCAGCCGCCTCACCCTCTTCCTGACTCCTCCGCCTCGCGCCGATCCTCGTCTCCTCTGTTCCGCCTCCTCTCCTCTCCGCCTCACCTCCTCCTCCTCCTCCTCCTCCTCCTCCTCCTCCTCCTCCTCCTCCTCCTCCTCCTCCTCCTCTGCCCAGGGACCGGCCCTGCCTCCCGAGCCGTCTTGCGGACGGCCCCGCCCCCAGGTCGGGCGAGGGGGCCCCTGGAGGCCGAAACCAGCGAACAGCCCCGCGCCGCGCTTCTCTCTCTCTCTCTCTCTCTCTCGAGGAGGAGGAGGAGGAGGAGGAGGAGGAGGAGGAGGAAGGGGAGGAGGTGGTGGTAGGAAGAGGGAGGAGGAGAGAAAGGGAGAGGCGGTAGGAGTGAGGAGAGGAGGAGGAAAAGGAGGAGGAGGAGTGGGGGGGGAGGAGGAGGCGGAGGAGGAGGGAGGGAAGGAGGAGGGCGAGGGTGGAGGAGGTGGAGGAGGAGGAGGAGTGAGGAGGAGGAGGAAGGTTGGAGGAAAGTAGGTGGAGAGGAAGAGGAGGAGGAGGAGAAGAAAGGAGGAGGAGGTGGAGGAGGAGGGGAGGAGGAGGAGGAGGGGGGGGGAGGAGGCGTGGAGGTCTGAGGTTCGGAGTGAGCGAGGGAGCAGGAGGAGGAGGAGGAGGAGGAGGAGGAGGAGGAGGAGGAGGAGGAGGTGAGGAGGAGGAGGAGGAGGAGAGGAGGAGGAGGAGGAGGAGGAAAGGAGGAGGGGGAGAAAGGTAGGAGAGGAGGAGGAGGAGGAGGAGGGGGGGGGGGTTGAGGAGGGAGGAGGAGGCGAGGAGGAGGAAGTAGGAGGAGGAGGAGGAGGAGGAGGAGGAGGAGGAAGGAGGAGGAGGAGGAGGGCGTAGAGGGGAGGAGGAGGAGGAGGAGGGGGGAGGAGGAGGAGGGGAGGAGGAGGAGGAGAAGGAGGAGGAGGAGGAGGAGGAAGGAGGAGGAGGAGGAGAAAGGAGGAGGTGGAGGAGGAGGAGGAAGGAAAAAGAGTGGAGGAGGAGGAGGAGGAGGAGGAGGAGGGGTGTGGAGGAGTGCAAAGGGATTGGAGTGGAGGAGAGGAGGAGGAGGAGGAGGACGAGGAGGGGGAGGTGGTGGAGGTGGGAGAGGGAGAGGAGGGAGGAGGACCAAAAACCCCGGACCCCATCCGCTGCTTCACGCTGGCTGATGGCCCTCCCGCGCGGCACCGCGCGGCGCCGCTGCGGGCCTCCGCGGCCTGGGGCCCGTCTGTCGCCCCGCGTTTGGTTCGTGATGGTCCCGGGGCCCTCCTTCTCCTACTCCTCTCCTCCCTCACTCCTCTCATCGCTCCTCCTCCTCCTCCTCTCCTCCTCCTCCTTCCTCTCTTCTTCGATCATCATCATCTTCATCATCATCATCATCATCATCATCATCATCATCATCATCATCATCATCATCATCATCATCATCATCATCCTCATCCACATCCACATCCACATCCACATCCACATCCACATCATAATCCTCATCCTCCTCCTCATCCTAATCCTCATCATCCTCCTCCTCCTGCGTGCACAGGAGAGGTAGAAAGAGCATGTAGATGAGGATCTGCTGCGGACAGCTGAACACCACGCAAGGGAAGTTCTGAGAATAGAGTGCAATGTTTTTCCCTCCTCCGCCTCCTCCTCCTCCTCGCCCTGGGTTGCAGTCGACTGCAAGCCGCCGACTGAAGACCGTCCTCCTTGTAAGCTGTTGGGCCGAATGCGCGCGTCGCTGGGGCAAGAGGCCCGTTCTCAAGAGGTACCGCCCTCCATCCCCGTAGCTGCTGAAGTGCCGAGGAAGCATCAGGATCAGAAACGCGGGGAGGCCTGCAGCGAAACGCCCCGCCCGCCCTGGCGGCGCGTCTCGTGGCGCGACAAGGAGGAGGTACGCACGAGGAGGAGGAGCCCCATTTGTTCTATGTTTCGCGATAGCGCCCGCAGCCAGCCCCGGCGGCGACTTGACCCCAGGAAGCGTTCGGAAGGCACGGGGGGCGCAGAGGCAGACCGGTTGGGGCACGAGGGGCGAGCGACAGGGCGAGAGCGCACGGGCAGGCTGTCCGGGAGGGGGAGAGACCACACTCAGAGCATGTAGCATCAGGTCGGGCCTGTCCCCCTACAGGGGGATTTGGAGGAAAAGTTAAAAACCGTCCAAAAATACCCCTACATGGTCAAAAAAAATAGGAACATAGTCCCCAGACTATTGTTTGACTAGTTTTGAATATTCCTCCTGTAGAAGGACAGGCCCGACTTAAATGTAGCACCTGTGCGCCGACTGGAAAAAAAACCACAAAAAAGACACATCGTCGGAAATCTAGGGGGGGCCCTCTGCTTCACGCTGACTGCTGGCCTGCTCTCGGGGATTGCCAAAGGTGCCCCTGGCCCCAAGGAGCCCCCCGCGTCCCGCTCCATTTGGGAGCCTCTGGAGCCGTCTGGGCCTCGTGAGGGGTGCACTGGAGGTCGTGTGGGCCTCCTTGAAAATCCTGGGGGCACCTTGGGCCAGGGGCACTTCTAACAACACCAGATTTGGTTGTTTTGACTCAGAAATCGATTACAGAATTGGTTTACCCCCAATTGAACTGTCCGTCGGATCCACGGATGTATCCTGGGAAGTCCTGGGGGCACCTTGAAAATCCTGGCGGCGATTTGACTCCGAGACGCGTTCAGAAAGCACGGGGGCGCAGTGGCAGACTGGCTGGGCCACAGGGGGCGAGCGCCGGGGTGAGAGCGCGCGGGCAAGGAGGCCCGGGGGGGGGTCCGAGAGTCACACTCAGAGCATGCAGCACGTGTGCGGGAGCCGGTGGCGTGCAAGAACAGCCCGATTGAGAAAAAAAAAAAAAAAAAAAAAAAAAAAAAAAAAAAAAAAAAAAAAAAAAAAAAAAAAAAAAAAAAAAAAAAAAGACGACGCCGTCGGAGATCTGGGGGACGCCTCTGCTTCCCGAGAGGCCTCCTCGGTGGGGTCGGAGCAGATGGGGTCGGAGGCCCGCGCCGACGCCTCGGCGACGGCGACACGAAGCAGATCGGGCCCCGCCTCGAGCCGCCTGGGCGATGCCTCGGCGATGCGGCGCGAGCCTCCGAGCCCACCTGCTCCGACCCCACCTACAGTCGGGGCCCTGAAGAAGGAACCCTTTTGGTTGGGGAGGGGCTCCCGCGTTCCTTAAGTGTTTCACAGCTTGCCTCAGGCTTTCCTTCTGTTTTCGACAGGAAATCGAAGTCGAACTTCTGGGAAAAAGGGGCCTCGTTCCTTCTTTGGGGCTCCTGAGGTCAAGGCCCCGACGGTAGGGGGCCTCGATGCCCGCTGCCCGCCAGCCCCCTCTCCCGCGCGGGCCGCCGCGCCGAGCGCCGAGCGCCCGGCCTCCCCGCCCCGGGGCCCGTCTTCGGGCCCAGCGTCATCTTGCCGGTCAGCGAGCCTGGCGGGCGGGGCGTGTGCGGCCGTCGGGCCCGCGGCGGGCTCCTGCCGGGCCTCCCCCCTCGTCCTCCTCCTCCCCCCTCGTCCTCCTCCTCCTCCTCCCCCCTCCTCCTCCCTCCTCCCTCCTCCTCCTCCTCCTCCTCCTCCTCCTCCTCCTCCTCCTCCTCCTCCTCCTCCTATCCTCCTCCTCCTCCTCCTCCTCCCCCTCCTAGCTCCTCCTAGCTCCTCCTTCCGCTCCTCCTCCTCCTTTTTTTTTTTTTTCTTTTTTTTACCCCCCCCCCACCCTCCTCCCTCCCTTCCCCCCCCCCCCACTATTTCTCCTCCTCCTCCTCCTCCTCCTCCTCCTCCCCCGCCTTCTCCTCCTTCCCACCCGCCAGGAGCGGTGCTTCACGCCGAGTCGTTCTCGGCTGCAGTCCACCCGTAGAGCGAGCAGCAAGGGTGCGCGGGGAGGATGCAGGGGCCTTGGACGCCCCTTGCGAGGCTTCAGCGACCACCCGACCTTGGTCCATCACGAACACGGATCCGATGATTACCGAAATGACTGGCTGCCAGACCACCCCAACCCAACACGAAATCCCAAATTTCAGGTTGGGGGGCCGTTTACGGGCTCCATCTGTGTCTCTAATGTTCCGGGATGCCCCCCCTCTGGGAATGGAGGGCAACTTGAGGCCTTCGGGTTGGGTTGGGGTGTCTTGGTGGGCAGCGACAAAAAGCGTGCAACATTGCGGCAAATCACAACCAGAGCCCCAGACTGCATCTTCCTGCGCCACTTTTCGAGCTGGATCGATCTGAGATGGCCCATTGGCCCGACACCGGGCGAAAACACCCAGGGTGAAAAAAAAAAAACGGAGATCCGACGTCGTGATTTTTTCCATATGCGGTCCCCCGAAGTCTCGACCCATTCCCCAGGACCGGATTCTCATCTCGAGTCGTTTTTTGACGGTCCCGGGGCCTGGCGAGGGCCCCTAGAGGCCGAAAATCGAGAAAAACCTCCGTCTTGATTTTTTCAATACGTTGGAGGTCTGGGAACTGCAACGCCCGGATCCCAGAGGAGGACGGCGAGAGGGAGCCCGAGCGGTCGGCATCGGCACACCGCGGCAGCACGGCGGCGGACACGTGCCGCGTGCCTTCTCGGGCACGCCGGTCCACGCCGCCGCGCGGCCCGCACTTCACGCCCGGGGCCGCTGCGCGGGGGCCGAGCCAGGGATTTCCTGGAGGCCCCGCCGGGAGCAGCACTGGATGCTCTGAAGGTCGGCAAGGGGTGTGGCATGAAGGGGGATGGTGCCAATGATGGACATGGCGGTGCTATCTGCGATGGATGGCAACCCTCCGCGAAACTGAAAGCAAGTTCTGCCGACCCCCCCTCGCCCCTGCGCGCGCGGCGCGGTGCGCGGACGCCGTCGGAAAATTTGAAGCCGGGTGCGTCGGCGTCAACGTTGAGACTTTGGGGGTCTGGGGGCGCCAGCGCGGCGCGGGAAAACTCGTCCGCAGTGGCACCACACACCTTCGCACCACGCCCAGCTCCTGCCTCCAGAGATGCGGCTGCAGGCGCAGGGGGGGGCTGCCCCCCACCGGCCCTGGCGCGGGGGCAAGGCCCACGGGCGCCGCGGCCGCCCTTGCCTCTGCAGAGGCGTCCCCCGGGCCACCGGTGGCGAGGCCAACTGCCATGCCGGCGGGCGGCACCAGTGGAGCCGCCCCTCCCGCCCGCGGTCGGCACCAATGGAGCCAGGCAGGAAAAGGAAGTGCAGAGCCCCCCCTCTGCCATCGGAGCGGGCTCGGCCTGACCCGAGGTGGCCAAGACGAGTGCGCGCTCCGATCCCCTTCCACGCCGCCCTCCCCCACTGCGCCCTCGCTCACAGCAACAACCCCCGGCGTGATGTCTTCGCAGCGGGGGGGTGTCAGCGGAGGCGGCGGCCCCAGGGAGGGCCTGTCAGCGACCCAGCCTTGGATGCAGTGATGGGCTCCGCCGCCTTGGCCGACCGCTCGTCGATCACGGTGCCCTCCGGGGCCAGGGGGTGGGGGGGCTCCCTCGCCCCAGCGGGTGGAGAGGGAACAGCAAAGAGAGGGGAAAGGAGGTGGCGGAGGAGGAGGGAGGTGGCGGAGGAGGAGGGAGGAGGGAGGAGGGGGAGGGGGGGAGGGATGGGGGGAGGGAGGGAAGCATGAAGGGAGGGAGGGAGGAAGGGAGGGACGACGAGCACGAGGAGGAGGAGGAGGAGGAGGAGGAGGAGGGAAGGAAAAACAGCGTCCATGAAGAAGGAGAAAGAGGATGAGAAGGAGGCGGAAGGAGGGAGGATGATGTGAAAGGAAGAGGAGGAGGAGGAAAATGCGAATGCGCGATCCGTCTTCCACTCGAGCAACAGTCGGAAACTGCTATGACGAACGTGCGCCAGGCGCTACCCCCGTTGAGTCCTTGAGAATTTCGTGCCCATGTTGAGCCCCGCCCGACTCTGAGTGCCATCATACTAACAAGGCACCGAGGGGAGGCTCAACGCGCGCCCTCCACGGTGGCCAAGGCGCACGCTACACGCAGGCCCAAACCAGACTGGCAGTCTGGCCCCGCACCCAAAAGTCGGCCCCATACTGAGGCGGCGGGCAACCCAGCCGGCTTCGATCCAGCCAGGCTGCGGACCACACGGATAGCGGCGGGTAGCCTCTGGATCCGTCGGCGGATTGAACCAAAACGCTTTCGGATGCGATCGACGACGACGTGAGATGGTGGTTCCGGCGCGGGCAGGATGCCCGCGTCTAAGACTCCCAGTTGAAATTCAAACTTGAAGAGGAAAACGCGTCGCCGCTGCCTCGTCGGCGTGCGCGGCCCACCTGCGAAGGCATCGAGGTCGACCCGATGACCCTCGCACAATCCTCGATGACTTCTTGGCCCTGTTGAGGCCATGTTGAAGTCGTGAGAACCAAAGTCTGACCAGAAATGACGCGCCCGCGTTGCACCCCCATGCGAGGGGCTCATCGTCGCCCAAGCGTGACTTCCGCACAGTCCACGAGGATGCCGTGCCCACGTCGAGACCAGATTGAAAGCCTCAGGTCAGGGCGCAACATCGCCCACGCATGACCCCCGCAAAGTCCTCGAAAAGTCCGTGCCCACGTTGGGACCATGTTGAGACCCTCACTGCAATGGCTGAACGTGACTCCCGCATGGTCCTCGAGGATTCCATGCCCACGCTGGGCCCATGTTGAGACCCTGACGACAAGGACCCAACATGAGAGAGACCGTGATCAACCGCCGCATTACTGTGGAAAATTCCCCCCCTATTCCTCCGGAACCAGGGGGTCCCCCCCTCCGAAAATCGCCCCCCTGCTCGAACCCCCCTCCCCCCCCTCCCTTCCCACGCCGCTGTCCCACTGTCCTACTGTCCCCACCACTATCCCACTGTCCCCGCCGCTGTCCTACTGAGCTGTCCCGCTGTTCCCACCACTGTCCCAATCCCCACTGTCCCCACCACTGTCCCCACTGTACCACTGCCCCATTATCCCACCACCGTCCTCACCATCGCCCCCACCACTGTCCCCACCACCGTCCCCACCACGGTCCCACTGTCCCCACTGTCCCCACCACTGTCCCACTGTCCCCACACCACTGTCCCCACCACCACCGCCCTCACCACTGTCCCCACCACCGTCCCCACCACGGTCCTACTGTCGCCACTGTCCCCACCACTGTCCCACTGTCCCCACACTCCTGTCCCTACCAGCACCGTCCCCACCAGTGTCCCACTGTCCCCACCACTCTCCCACTGTCCCCACTGTTCCCACCACTGTCCCCACTGTCCCCACCAGTGCCCCCACCAGCGTCTCACTGTCCCCAATGTCCCCACCACTGTCCCACCACGGTCCCACTCTCCCCATTGTCCCCACTGTCCCCACCACTGTCCCACTGTCCCCACTGTCCCCACCACTGCCCCCACTGTCCCCACTG